CGAGCGATACTTTTTAACTTCTTATTCAAGATATTATGTGCAATTAATAAACCTACTAGAAATCCCGGGAGTTGCGAAGGAAGCTTTTAGGGAAAGCGGTACATAAAAAAGGGTTGGCCAGTAAAAAGTCAAACTCCTTCAAGAAAATGAAGCGAGAATCCACGGTGATGAAATAAGATCTTTCAGGTTAGTTCTTCGATGATCCTTGGCATGTCAACAATCAACAATTGAAAACTTCACGAAAGCTATAATAGGATTAACTTGTTAGGAATTATGACTTCATTTAGGCAAATTTATGCCTAATTTCGTTTCACATATATAAAACAGCCCTGCCTATGTCTATTAACAATCGAATTATCTGAATTAACTAGAAATTTTTCTCGAGCAAAAATTTAAATGGATAAACTAACTATAAATCTATGTAAGTTTTGACACAAATAAGTGCATTAAATAACATAAATTCAATTTGAATGTTGCATAGCATAACCTATAAGAGTATCTTTTACTCTGTTATCAAGACTTATGTTCCCTATTGCACTAGTTAGACATGTATATTACCTCTTGGTCTCTATACAGTTCCTAAATAATTAAATTAGTGATCAAGCAATTGAATTCAATAAGCACACAATAAGCAATTAACACTACAAATGTATTGACATGAAAACATGTAAATTGTTATAACAAAAACGACATAAGCTACATCGTTCATTTTAGCATGTAAACTTCAACTGCTCATCATTGCAGATGAATACAATGAAGAATAGAAAGACGTCACCGCGTTCTTATTACAATAAAGGAAAAAAGAACTAAATTATTATTGATCTTTGCCACACGAATTCCAGCAACGATTCTTCAACCTTAGTCCTTGATTCTTACAATCCTTCCCATTAGAATGGGTCTCTTTTGCCTTCCAACTCCCAAAGTCTGAGTAAAAGTGATTGAATCTTGTGTATAGTTATGCGCTTTTGTATTCAAGCTTTTTCTTCCTTGAATGTCATATGAAAATCTATATTTATGATTCAAAGATTAGGTCAAAATTCGTGTCTCATCCATATTCCATATAAAAGTCTACTTGGATTAGGAAATTCATTCTTGACATGCCTCATCCAGCCGTGCAATCACATGGTGTAGTGGGTTGTTATCACAAAGTTCAATGTCGAAACATGTTGTTTTTATTTCATCATCTCGCGATCGCATACTTTGCCTCCTAATGCAAGTTGGTATTTGGATGTCCCTTTTGTTCAGCTCCAACCCTTTCTTATTTGCATCTTGAGTCCTTCATATATCAATTCCTAGAAATTAGTCCCTATTTTCCATAATTTGTTTATTTTTACTCCTCATCATTCTATTTATGATCCAAATGCATTTAAGTTTAGATTTTACCTGCAATTAACAAAATTACCCTAAATTGTGTTGACATAGACTCAATTAGAAAATATTTTTCAAGATAAAAAGAATGGATGTACAAAATTTTCATAGTGGAAAGCTTTGACCGTCCCTAATATTTCTTCATATTTTTATATTTTTTCCATCTTTTCATTTTTCTCCGTACAAAGATCATAAAGGGAATCGGTCTCAATTCCCAACAGGGGGATTGAGATATCATTTGGAATTGATTTGAGTCTCAAATTCTTATTCTAAAACTATTTACTATTTTAAATGTTTGATAAATATAAATAAAATTTTGATTATGGAAAAAATTGTATTGTCTGACAACATATCAAAAGAAATAGTAAAATGGCCACTTTTGAGATTCTGTTTATAACTTTTCCAATTACCCATTTTAAAAATTACAACTACCGTGCATAAATGCAATACCTCTTCTAACCTAGATGTATTAGTATTCTCCAAGCTTAATCGCTTTTATTTTCTAATTTAATCAATTCGGATTTGAGAAAAATGTTAATTTTTTTTTTTTCATTTAGATTAATATTTAATAATATCGCATTTTATAAAATTAAGAAAAAAATTACAATAAGACCAATGATAATTGTACATTAGGAAATAATTATAATTAATGTCCATTTTAGTATGAGTAGAGTGTAAAACAATTATGTTTACCAAATGCTCAAATGTTAATTTTGAAGCAAAAATTTATCAAACACTTGTAAATAAATTTTTTATGATTAATTCTTTCTTCAACACTTCTAAAGTTGATTGTCTTAAAAGTTAAAAGCTACAATAAACCAAATTTGTTTGATTTTAGTACTCAAGGCTATTTTTTTACTTACAAATACAAGAAAAGTAATCTAACGTGCTTCTAAACAATAATGTTACTTAAAAGAAACTTTACTCTTCAGACTACTTTTAAAAAATCAATTTTTTACTTAAAACTAATAAAAAATTATCTAAACATATTTTTATGTAAGAATTTACTTTAAAATACATTAGTTTTTTAGCTTACTGTTACAGTAATGATTTATCACGTAAAAGTTATACGAACTTATCTGTAGACAAAAAGTTAAAAAACATATAAGCAAGTTACTCTTTTTTGAAGTATTTAATTTAAGTGTTGTTAAAAAATAAAAATAAAATGCTTAAGAAATTCATAATTCTTTTTCCAACACTTCTAAAGTTGATTGTCGTAAAAGCTAAAACAAAACAAATGTGTTTGATTTTAGTACTAAAGGCTACTTTTTTACTTACAAATACAAGAAATGTAATCCAACATGCTTGTAAATAGGGGTGGGCAAAAAAAACCGATAAACCAGCTAAACCAATCAAACCGAACCAGTTCGGGCCGGTTCGGGTCGGTTCCATTCAATCTATTGGTTTGGTTTGGTTTTTATTATGCAAAACCATATTGGGTTGGTTTGGTTGGTGGGTTGAGACCTCAAACCGGTGGTGAACCGATCCAGCCCAAACCACTAACGGGTTACCATTTTTTTTTAAAGAAAATCAGTCACAGAACCCTAATCCTATACGATCTCCATCTCTCCAATCTCTCGGTCTCTCCAATCTCTCACCGTCTCAACTCTCCCGTTGCAATCCAAATTCCCAATCAACCCAGTAAGTTACTTCTAAAACCTGATCTGGTTCGATTTTAGTGTTCTTATTTAAATATTGACCATTTGCTTGAAATTCAAATTATAACTGGATTTGTGTTTGTGCTAGCTGTATATATTATATGAATATTTTGTTGTAGAGTGAAAGTTTTTTATGGATTGAGTTGGTTGTAGAGTAATTTCATATGAATTAATTGAGACATCTTCTTCCGCCTCATCAGTAGGTCAAAATTGGGTCATTCTATCAACAAGTCACTGCATTTTTCTACAAAGGAATGAAGGGATAGCAAAATTAAGCATATGGATTAACTGAGAAATATCTCAATTAATCCATATGCTTAATTTTGACCATCTGTTCATTTTGCTATCCCATATACAGTGACTTGTTGCAGAATTAGTCTCTTACCCTATCTAGTCTTTATCTTGATCATGCTTTTGTTGTTGAATGAACAGACATTATAATATGATATACAATATCATTTGCCTCATTAACTGAAATCTGAATTTTTTTGTAATCGATGTACACTTTGTGCAGGTTTGACTATGGATATTGATGATGAATGTGAATATATTGGTGAAACCCCAGCAACACCAAATACAGGTAGAAATACTACTAATCTTCCTCCACTTCCATCGTCATGTTTAGGGAAGAGACAACAAAATAGGAGAACTTCAGATGTTTGGGATCATTTCACTATAATGGGAGATCAAAACGATGAAGATGTTAGGTGTGAGTGTAAATACTGTGAGCAATCTTATGCATGTGGGGCTAAGAAATAAGGGACTAGTACTTTAAGAAATACAAGTTGTAAACAATTATGTTAAAAAGGAACTTTACTCTTTAGACTACTTTTAAAAAAAATCATTTTTTTACTTGAAAATAATATCAAAATAAATTATATAAACATATTTTTGGATAAAATTTTACCTAAAAATATATTAGATTCTTAGCTTACTTTAATAGTAACACTTTTTGGGGCTATGCTATTTGTACACGAGGGTGTACAATAGCCCACAATTTTTTTTATTGATCATGAGATCCCCTTCTTGTGAGAGAGTTGTACTCCAAGGTGTCAACCCCAGTATGCAAATAACATTTCCCTACTTTTTCACATAAAAGTTGTACAAACTTAATTGTAGACAAGAAGTTACAAAATATACGATTTACTCTTTTTTAAAAATATTTAATACAAATGTGCTGTTAAAAAAGGAAAAAAAAAATGCTTAAGATTTTGCCATTTTAAAGTTCAGCCAAAAGTATTTTTGCACATTTTTCACTTTTAAATATGTATACATATTTTAATGCTATGTTATACCAAACATAGTATAATAACAAGTAACAACCAACCTTAATCCTATCCGCCCGAATCCTATACTATGTACAAAAGGCACCTTTAAAAGATTTGTCCATTTGAATTGACATTAACTACAACGTGTCTAGTCTCATGGGACAGCAAATTAAGCAAACATGAAAGTGCTAACTGCAAAGGACTAATAATAACAGAAATCCAGAGGGACTTCTTCCTGCAAATGCAATTATAGAAAATAAGCACTTACAAAGGGTATGTCCCATTCTCAAATACTGAATAGGCAACCATCAATAAGCTTCACCTGGACAACAGTTAAACCCAACAGAGAGTCAATTGCTTTATACTATAACCATTCAATCGCTGATGACCTTTTACAGGAACCTTAACTCACAACTGAAATAATACACCTTTTGTTACATTACGATTAATGGTACCTGAATATACACTAATGTACGGAAAAACAAATTACAGATTGCAGTCTATAGCTTAAACTTAGAAGGTGCATATAAATGGCCTTCCAACGAGACCACAGCAGTGCATTAAATATGGCCATATTGGTGTGAAGAAGCAAAATACTCAATTATTCTTGCTACGACACAGCCAATTTTGACATATCACCACATAGAAACTAATAATATAACCGGGATGAACAGCTGAAAATTTCTCAAGCGGCAATAAGGTGGCTTCAATCTTCTTCAGAAAACCAGACATTGTTGATCCGGTCAATGGTAGCGATGTGAGTTGTAGGGAACACAAGCCGCAACAAGGGAACTGATGAGCGTATCTTAATGCGCTTGATCTTCTCCGCAGCTTTTTTAATGTCAAGTGCAGAGGGCACGCCGTACCATTGGAGATACCACGAAAGAATCATCCCAGGCATCTTTCCCTGGGAATCTTCAGTCGGCCATCTCCCTGAATTTATATAAGCAGAGAAATCAGTTCTCAAGTCCAAAGAAAAGTTCAAAATCTCTTCAACTCGCTTCCTAAGCGCCCCAAGAAAAGCGGATTGCACTATTTCCCCTCCAGAAGAGGTTAATTTTCCACTTAACAGAGCTTCATTGTAGGCTACTGCAATCTGTGCAAAACAGAAAAATTTAAATTACAGATAACTAAATATTTTAAGCCAACTAAACGGGCCCTTTCCAAAGTCCTTCCCCACAATAACTACAACAAACACAGGCAAATTAAGTAGCCATGTCTTTGTAAAGCGAAGACTTCCAATTCAAACAGTTCATCCTTCAGCCATTACAAGGTAATGCGTGCTATGATTCATGAGTCTAACAATTCAGCAGTAGTCAGACATGTTTTTCTATTTGCATCTCATATACATTATGTTCACACCACAAATTACCTATACATATATTTAAGAATGAGAGATCCTTCCAAAGAAATTAGAACTTAATTACAAGCAGAGGTCCTTCAATAAGAAACAAAACAACCAACTCTAGTCGAATGGTCACAAATAGGGCACAAGTTTTCGGGAAGGGTTAAAAGTGAGAACTTTTTTTCATGAACATCCAGAACTAGGCCTCATAAATGGTGGACGTGAATTATACAAGGCAAGAAAATGGTCACTTCAATGAAGAAATGTCCATGAACAATTAAAAAGAGGGTAATTTTCAGAAATCTAAACAAATAAAAATAAAATTGTTTTGGGCAAGTGACCATTCTTTTTGAGGCATTTATAAATAGCATGGACATTTTATATTTGAGAGAGGGAGTAATAACAATTATAATGTCCGATAAAATTGTCAACCCAAAATATGCAGAAATTTGGGAAGATTGATTTTCCATGTTCTTATTTCCGGATAAGAAACTTTCCAAATTGAGATGCACTTGTTTTGTGATGATTTTCGAACCTAATTGAATGGGCTATATGAGGAATCATCGGCTGCAGAAAATAAAGAAATGAGTAGTTCCTTGAAAAACACAATATATACACTAGTTCTGCTGCATAGGACTTCAGTTAGAGCTGCCAACAGGCCCAACAAAGCAGGCAAGAAAAAATTAACTAATATCCAGCAAGCACGTATGATGGTAATCCTCGATGAATCCATCCCTGAAGCAAGTTTATGTTTTAAAATTCACAAGGCAATTACGAAAAGCATCATTCCGTTTTATGACGCAGAAAACAAATCCATGCGTCACATTACTTCAAGAAAACTCTATTAGGAGGAAGGGAAGGACGAGCGGGCGGCTACGATAGCACGTAGTGGGGGTGAGGAAGAACAGGTTGGGTGGTGGAGGAAGGGATGTAGGGGTGCAAGGAGAGCCAGTGGGGGAGGTGAGGATGGGTAAGGATCGTTAAGAAATTTAATCGTATCACCATGCAATACAGCATACAGGCCAACAAATAACAGTTGCAAGCTTCAATGAAATACAATAATAATCTCGTACCTTCAAACTTGAGAGAAAAAGTGAATCACCGGAATTATATGTACCAGTAACCAAATCCACCATACACTCAATTGTTGTGTATAATGACAAATAAACCTGCATATTTTAGAATATCAAGAAGTCTGCATTTAAGAACTGCAGTAGTGACAACCACAGAATTTTATCATGGAATGGCCAAATAATTAATTTATAATACCCCATTTTGAAGTTAAGAACATAAAATCCATATTCTACTAGGAATTTCTTTGCTAGGAAACAAAGCTTCCTTGTATAGTTTGATAGTAGGGGTCAAGAGATGATTTTGAAGTTTCAATATTTTAATCTAATTAAATTTTTAAAAAATATACTTCTCATACTGTAGGGACAAAGTAAAATGGTCATGCAGTACTTATTTATCAAATTAAGTCACTCGGAGGAAAGATATACCGAATACAGTAGTGACCAATGTCTGCATTGATTATTTTGTTAGCAAAAATTATACCAATGAGAAAAATCTCACATGTTCCAAGGGTAAAATATAACAAAATTGGAGGGTAAACTACCCGACCCTCATTTGTCAGCTAGCAGTCACAATCAATCTCATCAAAAATCAAATTGGTGAACACGGATGTATCACCTGTAACAGTGCTGGCCTGTCTTTGCTCACACACTCAAACAATACTTGCAGGCAAAACTCCTGAAAGTCATGGTCGGATCTGCAACAAAGTTCTCAATAAATTACTAAAACCTACACTTAGTTTTTGTACAAATATCAATGTTTGTACTGAACATTACTGCACAGCATTATTCAGAATTCAGAACCACCATGAGGTGAAGGAGATGCAAATATCTGGGGAAAATCACGGGGTACCAATCTAGAGATAATATTCCACATTAAAAGTTTATTTAGTGGAGTCATTGTCAATGCATCATAAGATGTTTTACTCGGTGGTTTGAAGGTATTAAAGACTTGTCCAAGGATATTAAAATCAAGTCAAACAAATAAATGAAATGCACAACCTTATAAACACACTTCCAGCGAAAATGTGATATTATGTTAGAAAAGGAAAAATTTGTCAATTGGTCATTTCCCTTTCAACTTGTTTCTCTTGATGAAAAGTTCTTGTAGAGATTTGAGAATATATGTGTACAAACACACAGAGAAGTACACAACATTCACGTGCTTATTTGAAACTGGATACTCATTTGATCTTAGGCACGGCCCGGAAAATTAATTGACAATTAATCAGGAAAGATAGTTCAAAAAAATATTAGGGATGAGTCATATTAGTAGTAGTATGGCAATTAAAAGAAACAACTTACATGTTATTTGAGGATGGGTTACAAAAGAGTTGCGCGAAGGCAATTAAGCTCGGGTCTGACGAGAAAGTACTGACCAATTGATCGACTGTAACTGTACCAATACACTGGGTACTGGGAGTGTGGGACCGTAGTCGCGTCAAACCACTCATCTGCACAGATGACATTTCATAAGACCCTAAGTTGTGTGGAAGGCACATCATAGAGTTTAACAGGAAGACCAACCTTGTGTATTGCTCTTGACAGTAGTGATTGGCATCCTATGGGATCATCAACATAAGAAGAAGATCCAACTTTTCTCTTGACATAGAGAACACCAGAATTGAAAGGATGATTCTTGTCTGCAGAACTCCACCAAGGTTTTTCTGTCAAGAACTACAATTCTTCAGGCAAAATACAACTTACTAAAATTCTGATCATAAGCATAAGAAACCAATATCAGTTACCCTCAGGGAAAAGCTCAATATTTTGAGGCCAGTATCGAGGACCACAAACACGAACTGCCTTCAACTAAAGAACATAATGAAATAATTAGCATTACGATAATATGATCACTGGGTAGAAAGAAATAGAGGGATAATTGCATTTGTGGGAGTGATTTACATACTAAGAATCACAGATACAAATACATAATTCGAATACAGTATGATAAGGGAACGTCGACATTTTTTAAAAAAGTTAAGATACGTGGATACATGTTATAAAATTTAACATAATTTCATTAATATAAAAAAAAAATTAAAAATTAAAATATAAGCATAATAATAAAAATAAAATAAAAATTCTAAAATATTTTATCTTAATCCTAATTATCCTAATTTCGTTTTCTTCAACATCAGTTTCCTCATAATCTATCATTAAAAACAACACTCTAACTCTAGCTCATCTAATGATAGATTAGCAATGTCAAGAAGTCTAATAACTTCAAGAGTATCAAACGAGTATCTAACAATGTCTTACATTTTGGATTTTCCTTTTGAATAGAGATCTAATTTTCTTGATAAAAGACGCAGATTTTTATGAATGAAAATCAATTATTCAATTCCTTGTGGAGTTATTTATTCTCATGTAGCGCACAAAAGGATACGTACTCCAATTATTTAATATCAGTTACTATCTATTTTCAATAATAAAAATATATTTGTCAATTATTAAAACAATTTCACATATATTAACAGATTAAATAATATTGTGTATTTTCAATAAAAAGTCTGGTTGTTAATTAATTTAAAACTATAATTGTGTACTTCTATAAAGTATTATTAATATCCAATAAAGTAAAAAAATGTTCAATCTATAGTCAATAACAATGAGTTTTATAAGAGTTTAAAATCAATAGCATTCTTCTTCACATGTCCTAATGTATCGGACAAGTATCGAGAATAAATACAAAATAAAAAAAAATAAAAAAATAAGTAACTGATACATATTGAAATTTTAAAAAATATAAAATAATAAAAAAAAACGTGTATCTGTTATATATCGAATAAGGGTACATAATGAGTTTCCAAGTATCGGTGCTTCTTAATTTACATATAAATTAGTGTATTCTCAATCAAATGAAAGTTAGAATGCGATAAGAGTTGCTCGAGTTAAGCTTGTACTAACAGAATTTCTTGATAGCTTCAGACTACTTAAACATGTAGCTTGTATGATACGCCTAATGAAATAAATTTATGTTATGTTTGTCAACCCATGAGAGGCATAATGCAAGAACTAAAACCAGCTTCACCTTGAGTAGTAAGCATCAAATATTATGTTTTCACAAAGAGGGTTGACCTAGTTTTTGAGGAACCTTACTGCTCACAAGTAGTAATATGTTCAGGGGTGATCAAGTGAAGGGAATGAGCCCCTACTGTATTGCCTATTGGATCCTAATAAATAGTAAAATAGAGTTTATTTACGTGAAAATAAGACCAGCTTACAATCGCACGTTCTGGGAGACTGCAAGGGGTGACCTCACAATAACTCGTCTCAGCATAATGTTCAGTTTCTCGAATGGTAACTTCAAGAGGAACATAAACAGGTAAACCTGTATCTACATCAACTGTCTGAATCCAACGTGCTTCTGTTGCGAGAACATACAAATGCCTGAATGCCTGTCATTAGAGATTTAATGGCTATCACAAGAATGAATAAGAAATAGGAGACTACTAATCGCTAAGATTTGATAAAATAAACAGTTTCCAATACATCCATGGTTTCCAAGCCCAAAGAAAAGCAGAGATAGAGTCTTTCCAATGCAATAGTTCAAAAATTGTCTGTCTCAAATATTGAGATCAAGTCTACTTTCCATAACCTAGTTGATGAGAACAATGATTAGATCAATTATAATTGTCACAAACCACCTAATTATATTTTGCAAATGATTGCCTCAGATTTTGGGAACTGTTTCTTAAACAGTTTGGTCCCAAACATTACCAAAATAAATCATGTATATCACTTCTGCGTATGTATCACCTGAAGGTGGCATCGATTGTCATTTGGTCCAGTTGGCAAGCGTGGATAAAGTGTTATCAACAAAGCAGCGACAGAACTGTTACTGGTTGAAAAAGTCCACATTCCACCCCCAAGAAACAAGAAACCAATGGCTAAACTTACCTGCATTAAATTCAAATATTGAAGAACAATAATGCAAAGTTTCACATACATCACAGATCAAAAATATAATAAATGGTAAAAAGTCCATAAGGTATCCATCCTTATAACTTCAAAAATTTGTCAAATAGGTACAAGCGTGTCTAACATCATCCATTAAATTAGTTTGACTTTCAGCATTGAAATGGTGTAAACTACATTATGCAAGCTTATTCATGATTTATAGCCAAGCATTAATTTATGCTAACAATCAAGCTTATCTATATTTGAGTACATATCAATTGTGAACTAGGTTAGATTTTGAAAGGCTGCAACAAGTTTGTCACAAATAACTAGAAGTATGCATGTGATCCCATCCCAATTTATAATATATTAAAAAAAGTAAAATAGTGCTGCATTTTTTCTTTTCACGATTGCGTTGTGGTTTCAGTTTCCACATTTTCTCATCTTCTTTTCCTTTAATGTTCAATCATACAAGAATAATAAATGTTTTAAGGAATATATAGACCAAACTATGTATCTATAACTCAACCTTTTTAACTAAACTATGATTTACCAAGATGGATAGAAGCAACAGTTATCATGGACTTCTTGCTTTTTGCATAAACAAAATAACATTAGCATAATCATAACTCTCTTTAACAGGGTTTTTAGTTATTTTAAATAGATCAAAACAGAACTTTGCATTGATTGTAAACAAAGTGGAATTTCTACTATTGTTTCATCCATTTTAAGAGTAGCATAATCTATCGTTATGCTAATGCAATTTTATAAATTAACTACTGGCAATTATAAATGTGAGTAAAGGCAGTGCAGCCAAAAAACAAATAAACTATGTTTGGGAGCTACCTCTCTTGGTAGGTAAATAAACTACTGAAATGCATTTGAAGCTCTGGAATCCAATTTTGGCCGGTGATGATTATAGATGTGAGTAAAGGCAGTGCAGCCAATTCCCTTTCTACAATACAGGTTTATTGACAAGTATCAACACACAAAGATTGATGGATGATTCCTTTTTCTAAAAGACTTCGAATATTCGTTTGGCATTGAGTATGAGTCAAGGAATGAAATTTTCTGTCAAATTTTTCTTACATGAGTCATACCATTGAGCCCTTGTATGATCATCTATCAGCAAACCACTTTGAACCCTCATTGTCAATGTATCACATATTAGTTAGCTTATCATGTACACAATTACATTTACTTTCCCGCATCGTAAATATAGAATGGGGCTGTAATTAGGAGATTTGACAGATTGTAATTAGTTAAATGTTGTAACTAGGAGATTTGACAGATGATGTTTAGGTTGTAATTAGAGAAATACTTCCTAGTTAATGAGAAGAAACTCTCGATTGAGAGGCATCGAGACAAATATGACATGGTATCAAAGCTACAAACATAACTTGTTTCAAATTTTGCGGTTTCTCTTGGGCTTAAGAACTGAGTTCTTGTGTTTCTTTTGATTTTGCATTCTCTTGTAGTCTCAAATTTGAGAGTTTTGTGAATTTCGAACAGTTGTTGCTGACTATCAATATTCTCGGCTGCCAAAAAACTCTATTACCTTTTCTGCAACAATCAACAATTACTGTTGCAATGCGATTGACTGACTGTCCCAGACCTTGTTGCTTCTTGTGTAGGCCGCATATACTCCTCTGGTCGTTGGCATTATGAGTTTAATTGGCAGACTTTTGTTGCTTATGTTGAGACTCAATTTTCAACTAGCATTAAGATATTACGTTCCGACTCTAGGGAGAATATTTGTCCAAAGATTTTCGGGACTTTCTCAGAGCAAAAGGTATTCTCTCAACACGCTCGTTCTTATACTCCCAAACAAAATGGTATCGTAGAACGTAAGAATATTCACATCCTAAATGTTGGTACCTTACTGATTGACTCTTCTGTGTTTTCTATGTTTTGAGTCGAAACTTTATCTAAGCTGTTTATTTGATTAATCGTTTTCCTTCCCGAACTTTGGACTATAACTCTCCCTACTCTCTTTTTTTTTAGTGATATACTTGACTATCATTCTTTACACACTTTTGGTTATGTTTGTTTTGTTCATTTGCCACCCACTGAACGTCACAAGGTTAGGGCTCAAGCTGCTCGGTGCGTTTTCATGGGATACCATCCTACACATAAGGGGTTTGTTTGTTACGATGCGAATTAGCATAAGCTACATGCCAATATTTCTATCATTCTTCCTGTTTTTGATGATGTGTCTTGTCAGATTGAACGTTTTAAACTAGGAATTGTGTATCAAAGATGTCCCCTTACTGCCTTCTCTATCTGATCTCTAATCAACGCTTGATTCTGACTCAACGCCTAGCCATTCAGCGTCTGAACTTTAACACTCTAGTCATGTCACTCGTCCTCCAGATAAATATGTTTCTCACAAACCGTATTCCATGCCACTATTAACACTACTTTTATCCCCCAAATCTTGCTCTCAAACTATTATTCAAGCATGCTGGAAGCAAGCTATGAATGAAGAACTTCAGGCTCTCTAGGATACTCATACGTAGGACATTGTTCCGTTTACAAATGGGGTGAAAGTTATTGGATGCAAATGTGTTTACACAAAGAAGCTACGAGCTGATGGTTCTATAGAACAACATAAGGCACACCTTAGTGGCACTTGGTAATAAATAGAAATACGGTCTTGACTATGAGGAGACGTTTGCACTAGTGGCTAAGATGACTATAGTACACACTATCATTGGCATCGCTGCATCTCAAGGATGGTCTCTTCAACAGATGGATGTCAAAACATGGCGGGTACGGGTAACAAGTACCTCGCCCTGCCACTTTTTTTTTTTTTTTTTTAAAGAATAAAAAAATTAAGTCTTCTNAAATTTCATTAGTTCTAATAGAAGATGACAATTAAGGTTAACTAAGAAATATGACAAATAATAAAAGTCTTAGTTAAACAAATATATTTGAATAATTTAACTTTTAAAAATAAATTAAAAAATATATTATTGTCTTACTTTAATGAATGGAAGCAATAAAATAAATTAAAAAAAATTAAACGGGTAGTAAACGGAACAAGGGGCAATCGCCCCGCCTTAAAGGGGGAGGTTGTCCCGATCCGCTCTGTTGCCATCTATCATCAAGACTCTCGATTGTCTTCGACATCCACTCATGGTTGCCAAATGGATGTTTTTTGATCGACCAGTATCAATTTGAGATGGGTGTTAGTGTATCATACATTAGTTAGCATATCATCTACATAATTACATTTAGTTTCCTACGTTGTAAATATAAAATAAGTGTTGTGATTACGAGATTTGACATATTGTCATTAGGGAAATAATGTAATTAAGAGATTTGACCGATGATGTTTAGGCTGTAATTGGGAAAATACTTCCTATTTAATGAGAGGCATCGAGACAAATCTGACACTTACATGACTTGAGAAAACCCCCAAATGTCACCATACAACATTGCAAACTATACTTCTAGAAGATTAAATAAATAAATAAAACGTAATTTCCACATATTTGGTTGGTATATGCATTTTATAACACCCGAACCCGAATTTGAATTTCTGGGTCTAATTATGAGAATTGAAAATTTAGGGACTCATTTGAGGGTTAATCCATCTACTAGGACTTTGTAGCAAACTTAGTATAAGTGCTAATTCCCACGAGTTTTACTCTTTCAAAAAGGGTTGAATACTTGGTCAAACCTTTATATAGAAATCTTTGATATATGTTTTTTGTCATATTTGTGATTGATCAAACATAGGGTAATGTGTAGTATGAATGCATGTGTATATAGAATGTAGTATTCACATGAGGAATGAGGGAGAGATTCTTGCTCATCTCACAAATTTTTTCAAGGAACAATTTCGATGCTAGAATTAATAGTCTTTCCACCATCATAGATTTTTCTTTAATCATGCATACCTAATCTTGTCATATTTAAGCCCTCATTCACATTCGCATACTACCACGCACTATTAATTTTTTCAGTCCAAATAATATATACATATACACGCACATAGCCGATGTGGAAATTGTAAGAGGGATCAAGCAATTTTATTCGGTCTCTATTACTCTTTCTTTTAAATTTCACAGTAAGTACGCTCCATATGTTTGGAATATTAATATGTTCCAAGAAAATTATTATGGGTCTCATATTATACAATATGATTATGATTATGTTAAGGGGACCGGAGTGTAGTAGCGCTACACATAAAAATTATTACAACCTATGTTCGGTAAAATTCTTATGTCTCCATTATGTCGATTATGATTATTATGCTCCTTTAAGTTATACACGATAATAATTCATAGCGTACTTATGGCGATTTTATAAATCTCACCCTATGATATTTCCTCCTTTCAGGCAATTGATGGTTCGAGGCAGTCAACGTTGAGATGACAATGAGTTAGGATTAATAAATTATATCGTGTTTGAAACACAATTTTTAAGTTTCATTTGTTTAGACATTATTTAGGCTATGCTTTATGTCAATGCATTATTTTTTTTAATATTAAGATTTCGCAATTAATTATTGAAGTTAAAACCGCTTTTTTTTTTCTTATTTACTTAATGAGTAAAATCGTTTCTTGTTATTATTTAAGTCCTCATTAAAAAAAAAATCGAATTTTATTTAGTGACACTCGAATAGTCAAGAATTCGGATCGTCACACATTTAAATTACTTGTCTTATCAATGAACGAATGCCTTTCCCCCTTTATCACAAAGAGAAATTTTGTGGTTTTCAATAATAGCCCATTGGTATCTGTTGACTTCTGTAAATACTGCTATCCAAACTTCCTCTAGGTTCCCAGGTTCTTGATTGCCACAAAATGATGCAAGTAAAATAACTGGTTTTGTTTCCACAAAAAATAAAAATAAACAAAAAAAGAAGTGCCACCAGCAACAGGCGAGTAGAGATCTTTTTTGAGGTAACCAAAAAATGAAAAAAACTTACTGCCATTTGATTACCAAAATTAGCATGTCCATCAGCTGAGTTTCGAGTGCGAAGAAACTTCAGCAATCTGAATGTTTGTAGATGCCCAGATCCAGCCATTACCTGCTACCACAGGATATGAATGTCACATTTTGGCTTGTTCATGAGTCAAAGAAAACAGAAGTGATACTGTTCTAAGAATGTACTGACCACACATAGGGAAAGAACAATGAGATGAAGGCAGGTTTCAAATGTTCCACGATCAACATAATTAGACAATCCTTTGGGCAAACTATGCCCACTAGAAATACAAACAGGCTTTATCTGCAGGTATGGTAGTCAACTTGTTATAGGTGATATGTGAAATCAAATGCATCATTGAGAAGGACAGACCTCATTGAGGAAGTACACAGCATATTTATACAGCAACTCTTGTGCATTTTCATCTCTTGTACCAGCAAACCTCAACCCTGTAAACATGCACGCCTCAATAAGTCAATATTACAGCAGAGAGACTCATCCGATAACGATCAATAGACCAAGTAAAACTATCCATGACCCATGGTGCGTTTAAATTAATGATCGAGTTACAGATTTCAACTTTAGCTATCTTTCAATCACTTTAACAATCAATTACAATTTAGGTACTCTTTGGGAGCCTTTTTTATCAGATTTTTTATTAATCAAAAGAATAAATTACAAATTTCCTACATAACAACAAGCTTCTTTCTCAAATGAAAACCAATGGTCTCAACAAATGAATTATTTCATCTTCTGGGACATACCCAATCTAAATCAGCTTTTGAAATAACCTGCCCCCAAAAGAAACTTGCAACATCACCATGTAAAAACAAATGATCAACACAATTCACATCTTTTCTACAACAAATGAAGGAGAAAGAGATGCTGACATTCCTTTTTATCTAAATTGCAAGTACTGATCTTCCTATGAAAACATTTAATTCAGTAAGGACAGTGCTACAAATGGAAACTTTTCCAGTCATTTTTACAGTTGATGTGTCTGTTAAAGCCAGTACTTTTCCTTGGAAGCTGTCAAGGTGATTTTGGGGAGCAAATATTGAAAAAGTGTGCCACTCCATTTACAGACAGCTACTTGAGAAGAAGCCATTTTAACAGGATATCATCTTAAAAGGCACAGGAAGCTCTACTTGAGTTGGTTTTTTCTCTGCGTACGGAGCAAGTTTATTAAATTGTTGGGATAGATAGGATAACACAGCTACTGTTAACGAGCTCCCTTTTGTGCTGGATAACTCCTGGGCTAGATGCAGAATGACAGGTTTGGAGGATTGCCAGTGAGAGTTATGTAAGGAGCGCAGGAGGGGAGCTCGGAAAAATTGAAAATCCTTTGTGGAGACTTGGAAATACCATTTTTTTTTTTTTTTTTTGTGAACTCAGAGAGGAATGTCCATTGTAGAAGGTGGGATATACATCTTGTGTACTCTTTTCTTTTAGTGGATCGTTTTGCTTGACAAAAACTATAAATATTATAGAGGAGAGACCCCTCAGGACCACTCAAGTGAGTACTCGGCCGTAAACCTCAGAGCATCGTGGGATGAGTCGAGGTGAGCGCAAGTTGGCCCGGACATCCACT